TTGAACACACTATTGTCAGTGTTCGTGACAGCTACAGCTGTCTGCGAAGCTAAGCTACCCGCTTGTGGACCTAAGTTACCCACTTAGCCAGCGCCTCTTCGGGGTACTGCCACCATCAAAACATCCTCGGAGTCGTCATATACGTCGACGACTCCCAAGCATCTGCCAGATGCTTTGGTACCCTGGCAACCCTTGCGGGCGCCCCGGGTCCTGGCAGAGGTGGGAACATGACTCACCAATGCTCTGTCGGACTGCGCAGGGCGGCTGTCACCGATTGCCTTGCCTCGCCAGTCGATCCAGGGCTAGTGCTTCTCAAGCCAGGGCATGCCCAGGATCATATCATATGGATCCATGTCGAGAACAGTGAACTGTTCGAGGCTGTCAAAGTCCTCAAACTTGACGGCCAGATCCACTTGGACGTTGGGGACAGTGACGACCTTCCCGTCGGCCAGTCACACTGACACCGTCCCGTTGCCCTTGCTTTCTCTCAAAGCATCGGACAACTTGTTGCTATTACGAGCAACCGTCTGGCGGCGTGCGAAATTCTTCGACGCCCCAGAATCGATCAAGATTCTAAAGGTATGATCGTATCCCCGTACACATCCGTGTACTACGAGCAACCCGCCGCTGCTCTAGCCGATTCGAGAGTGCGAAGACTCTCAGGGGCTAAGTCTCCGTGGTACGCGCCACCCGCGCACCCATCACGAAGACTTAGTTCTTCCCCAGTAGGGCGCCCCGCCCCTACTGGTTCCCGGCGTTCCCCTGTCCTCGAGATCCTGGCTTCTGCCAGCGACCCTTGAGGACGGGCTTGGGGAAAGACCGTCTGCGGAGTCTTTCCGCAAGACAGTCGCGCTTGAAGTGGCCCATCTTCCCGCAGCCGAAGCAGTTCAGCGGACCCGAGTTCCATGGGAACTGGTCCGTTGGGGCTCGTTCGACCGGGAGTCGACAAGGAACTCCCAGGCCACGCTGAGGCCGGCTTACGCGCCTGGCGATGGCTGTACGCTTCTTGAAGAGCCACTTGAATCGCCTCTTCAAGGGTGTTTGACTGCACCCGGAACAGCTGAGTGCGTGCGGGGCCCACTCGAAGGCCGTCCATGAACACAGTCATCTTGGTGTGTTCGTTGAGTGGGTTTCCCACTAGGGACGCCGTGAGCTCCCGTATCTCTTGCACGTACTCGTGCAGCTCACACCTCCCTTGGTTGCACGAGAGGAAGCACGAACGCTGGCGGTACTCGTAGCTCGCCGGGAGGAACGCGGCTCGGAGCTGTTCGCACAGCTGAGCCCAGGATGTGAAACATGCAGGGGATGTTGCCTTCCGTGTGTACACCCAACTCTTAGCACGGCCGCTAATGTTGGAGAGTGAAATAGCAACACGAAGTTGCTCGGTCGAGATAAGAGCCGCGTCCATCGCGAGCTCTACTTCTCGGACCCAGAAGTGAAGGTTCTCGCCTTCCATCGCTTCATACGGCTTAACCTTCAGCCGTATTGGCTTCGGGTGAGGCGGATTTGCTTCCGCCGCCGGAGCCTGCAGGTTCTCCCGCACATGCGCGATGAGCCCCTGCTCGTACGCGTCAAATGCATTGACGCGATCGAGCTTCTCGGTCGGTGTTGACACCTCCAGGCTCTGCAGGGCCTCCATCCCGAAGATGCCTGCCATCTTCCGAACCAACTCGAACTGATATGGTAGAAGTCGTTCCTATCCATGGCAACGAACTTCGGAGAGGTTCAGGTAGTCTACTCGCGGTGGCGTGGATTGACTACGAGTGCTACCAAGTGTGACGGGGTCACACAGCACCTTGCGCTAGAGGAAGTTAGCTTCCGAGAGTATACAAACTCTCAGTGAACGGCAGTTCACAGGCCCCCTCTTTATCTAAAGAGAGCGAAGTGACCTATTCAAGGTATATTGTAAACTGAGTATATTTATAGCTAGATAAAGCTTGGGTTTAATACAAACTATAAGTCACCTATAGAAATGCAATGTCATCAACCAATGGTTGGCTTTGGACGACCTTGGTACCTAGTACCAAATATCCCGAAGTATGACGTGTCACACTTCAAGTAGCCAGGGTACACTTAGGGCTACGTACCCCGTTACAACTGTCCAGCATATTTAGGAGAATCACGAATGTATCATTCTCATCCATTGAGAAATACGTTTTTGCAGTTAAAAAAAAATCTTTTTGTTTGCCGGTGACACGAATGCTGACCCAGGTTACACTGTACCGTGGAAAAAATTCGGTGTGGGCTGTCCATACTTCTTTAAGGCATTCCCAGTACAGTATTCTGCGTGAATAGTGAACGGGTCACGAACGCATAAACTACCACAAAGAATAATACCACCCTATCAGCACGATAAGAAGGAGATGTGCAAAGATATTGAACTAAGATTGAATCCACCGGAGGTACAAGCAAAAAATCCAGTACATTTCAACATTTGAAATTGGCGCGCTTTTGGCGCCTTGCACACGTACTTGTCTGGTCCAAAAAAGTATTAACTGTTCTTTAAATCGGCGATAACTTCGGCCGTACAGCTCCAACGGAAGCGTGGTTGAGCTAGTTTGAAAGCTCTACTTACGAAGCGTCAGCACGTTTTATATTAGCAAATTTCTTTCCAATTTTTCCAATACCTGACCATTTGAACTATCACTTTATGGAGGGGTGGAGTTTTTTGTCGCTTTGACGTCAAAAATAATCAGAACTAAACTTTAGAAATATACTAGAGAAAGCGCAAACGAAGCTTAATCTAGTGATATATCACTAAAAGCAATTGAACCCATTTTCGTGTCAATTACTCTCAATCCCTGTGCATACAAATCCTCATATGAACACATTTTAATTAATCGTCTCCTTCTCAGTATGGACATTGACCAATCACACATGCGAGGTTTTTAAAAGAAAAACCTAACTGTTATTTCTTTTTCGGACCGGAGAAGTATGTAATACATGCATACTACTGTATGCGCATGCAGTTTAACGGACCTTCACATCCCGCCGTTACTAAGCTACCAAATCCGCCATGCCCCGCAATCCTACGAGGCGGCTACGCCTTACCTGGTCCGAGAAGGTGGTCCCTCTCTCGTACTATGTCCTACAAGGCAATCGCTGAATGGGCCGTAAACGAGTTCTGTCTCCCAACCACTCCCGGCAAAGCCACCATGTGTTGTATTTTCAAGTCGTCAGCTACACTACTGAAGCAACCAGTGGAGAAGGCTACTCTATTATCAAAAAAGTGATGCATGCATTAAATCGCTTAGGAGAAGGACACGCCGAGCCTTATTCAGTAAATTTACCTACTGCATTGATGTGGTGAGAGGGTGCGTGGTCGAAGGTGGCGACACCATTCCAACATTCGGGTTTAGCTAACAAAGCGAACATCAATTATTTGCTTTGTTAACTTATATCAATATAGGCTGTTTTTCGCTCCAAACTGCATGGAGCTATGTATTACATGTATTAATACAGACCGGCATAAATATCAGGCGTTCACTATTCATGCAGAATACTGTATAGCACTTATGATGTAATTGCTTACTGTTTCTTGTATCGAGACAGTCCGACATCGTGTCCCAGTAGGATTCAGGGGGTAGGGCCTATCATCGGCAGCAGCAATTGATGCGCTTTTGTTGTCCCGCTGGCACAATCATTTTTTCACAGCCTTTTTTAGTTTTTTTTAAGCTAAAAAACACTTTGATAGTTTATTTTGTCATAGAAATTCCAGCGGTATTTTGCGCGTCTTTGATCTCATGGATCGAAGTAAGAATCACGGGCTAGGCGTGCCATTCAATAAACGAGAGCTTCGCGGAGGCTGAGATAGCATGGATGTCATATTTTGCACTATATGAAAACAAACGTTCTAATATCTAAAATTACTTTGTTTTTTACATTGTGTAACATCTCCTTTGTTTTCCGTACTCCGATATGGTGCATACAACCTGGCAAGCGTATCACATTAAGCGCGTGACGTTGACATCAGAACATGTAAACACTTGATTTAGGTTGACTTTGACGATCACAATTTTCGGTTCATCGCAGCCACTAAGGCCATTCTCGTTACCTGCTATAGTCGCGACCTGTAGAACATCAATACATACACAAGTTTAAACCTTATCCGTCCACAACCAGTAAATGACACTGTTCAGCGGCTTCACCCATCAACCTTTTGCTTTAGACAGCAGTAGCAAGTGTAGCACAGTCGACAACACGATGGACATGGTCAAAAGACTCCATTCTCCTGCAGCAGCATCAGACGGTATAACATACGCTAGACTTGCATAACGCACGCAATTTTGGGTGACTCCAGAAAACACGCTCGGAAGTACTAGCTGCTGTGTCACAAGGCCAATAATTCATAGAAGAGGAGAAGACATTCGAAAAACTCGCCTTTATTTTATCCCGGAAATGTGAGCAGCAAGTGACGTTTTTAGACTATTTTCCTTAGGTAATATACAGACCATTTGAAAGCTAGCTTAAATACGGTAGCTGTATGCAAAACCATAAATTTTGCATTTTGTTTTCGGTCCTCTGACGATATTGTGAACTGCGATCAAATTCGAGTATTTTACAACTGCAAAACAGCGGAGCAGGCCTGAAGAATGTAAAACCTCGTGTAACTAATCGATGCCTTCGCAGTTCTTCAGCCTTCGATAAGCCTTGCGCCCAGCTTTTTACAGAGCTGTAGAAAAACTTGAATATTAATAATGAAGTTTTGCCCTAAAACCGAGGCAGCCTGAAGTTCGCTGCCGCCCCGTGTTCGGTCCAATGCGTTACTGCACACTTTACCGTATGGGGTCTGTTTCTTGTGGGTTGCCTGGCAGCGAGCCGCTCGCCGAGCGCCCTTGTGACCGCTCTCTGGAAACCGGAGACATGGTGTTGCCATCCCAGCTGGCGGCTGGATTGAGACTTGCAAGTCTCCGCACTGTGTGAAATATGTTAACCCCAAGCCGCGTTTGTCTCTCTGCCGCTATGACCAAAATTCCTCATTCTTCAATCAAGAGCGAAACCGCAGTAACGGCTTGTCGAGACAGGTTGGTGGCCGCACATGTTTTTAATTGACAAGCGCTGTAGCACTCACGAAGCTGCGACTATTAACGCGCTGTTCTCACTGTGATTCCCTCGTTAACGCGTCTTCTCCCATCTGTCTTCCCCCACTCAGGAGAATCTCGCCGTATTCGAGCGGCAGCATTGAGTGCAATACTAGCTACGTAAGCATAGCGGCATCTGGTGGATTGTTTGCCCTCAATCGAGTCAAGGGAGAGAGAAGCGGGTGTATAAAGACAAAAAAGGGAGGAGACGACCATGCCGATTCAAGTACAAACCGACATACTTGGCAGAGAGTACCTGGCGCGCAAACCCGTACACCGAGAGGATCCTGTTCTGCCTCGCAGCCGGGCTATGAAGCCTGTAGCCCACCCCAAACGCAAACCTCTCGTGAAAAGCCGATTGGCAATGGTGTCCAAGAGCGAACGCGCCAAGAAACCGCGCCGCCTTCCGAGCGACGAGACTGTCTTCTATTCGAATATCTGGACTCCACCTGATGTGCCCCCTACAAAGATGTCTTCGCAACTCGTGGACATTAGTCAAGTTGCTCATGTGTTGACGACGATTGACTACAAGAGTGGCTACGAAGGCTCAACCAAAACAGAGGTCTTCAATATTTGGGCGTCGCCCGAGTCGCAACACAACGTCCTAGCTTCCAAGACTGCGCTGCTGAGCAAGACCCAACAGAGTGCCAGCAACCTATCGACACCCATTTCCGAGCACAGCAGCGAGGAAGGTTCGTCTGTGGTCACACCGTCCACCATCCTGAGCCTCGGTCCATTGCGAATGGATGCCGATACACTCCGACGAGAACTGTCGCTGGATGATTTTGCTAATGTATTGAGTACTCCAGTCTCCGGACCGGTCAGGAAAGGTGAAAAGGTGGTGTTCTCAAACGTGTTGACGCGCAACGACGAAGTGGACATGAGCTGGAACTCGCAGTTTTTGCTAGGACTGCACGAGCCTGTCCGTCATGCTTTATACGTAATCGATCGCTTCTTGGAGCGCAGTCGTGACCAGCAATCGCCCATGAATATGAATGTGCGCGAGTTTTTCGGTTGGTTCAAGCTGCACTTCGTCGAGTTCGTACGAAACCAGCACGAGGTCAAGTCGACGGTGCTCCTCCCGCTTGTCGTCATCAAGTTCGTCGAAAAACGCGATATTGTTGCGTTGTATCAAGCCATTTACGCACTGATGGATGTGATTATTGCTCAGGAAGACGACTTGGTATTCTCCGCTGCGTCGTCCGCAGATTCGTGGCAAACTCGGCTGGGCATGCTGCAAGGACGATATCCGTCGACTTAATCATCTACTCTTTAACGTGCTATCACTAGAAGAAGAGGCCTTCAAGCCCAGCTATCGAGCTCGCATTTTCAGAGAAGGCCTTTCAGCGATATGTCATGCCACGGATCTTCCGTGCGACCAAGCCGAAGCGTGTAATGGTACCATGGATCGTTGAGCGGAGTCGCGTCTGGGGAGGTGTCAAGGTAGCCAAAGCGTACAAAGGAGACCTGTCATTTACTGCTCGGTTCCTGTACGACCATGTGTGGCACCCCTATTTCGAAACTAATATCGCCTCTGCAATGAAGCACTTGGACAACGATACGAAAGGCGTGACTGCGAAAGACTCTGATGAGTCGTGGTTTGGCTGCTCAGTCATGTAAAACCATTAAATGTTGCAGCTTAAGCAGGCTCCAGTTTGCACCGCTCTATAGATTATCTTCCAAGTATTCAGGTAGATGCTGCGGCTGGGAAGTAGGCAGGAGCTGGATAAAAAGCTTTTATTGACATTAGGGGTCCATGCCAATCAGGCGAAAACCGGGTATTTGATTTGCCCGTTCATGTATCGGTAAGACACCATATACGATAAGATAAACCAGCAAAGCTAAGAGCTATACTTCTACTAAACAGCGAGGGGCTTTTGGTAACACTTCGTGGTCGTCGTCGAGCTACATGTATTCTTTTTTTCTTTGCTTTGAAAACATGACATTGTAATCGAACGCTTTGTTTGGAAATACAAGTAGTTTGCATTTTGTGAGCATATTAATCGGTTTGAATATGAATATGACAGTTTGAAGACGACATAGTTCGCTCGGTGAAGTTGCCGGCTACGTGAGTCTATCTGCTTACCAGAAGCTTGCTGCCTCGCTTGCGAAAGAGCCCCATTCCTGTTAAAGTTCAAGCCTCACAACCAGTGGTATATGATTGGTCAAAAGCTTTCATTTGTTTTTGGTTAATCTAGGTTGGCCACACAAGATCCAGATGTCGGGAAGAGTCGCTGCCGCTGGCAGCGGTTGCACCCGGTCGATTTTAGCTCACTGGTCGAGTTGAGCGGAGAAACCAACAGTAGACACAGCAGACAAAACAGCTTTAGCACCTAAGCCGAGGCCATGGGGCAGCAGGTCTCACATCCGGCCGCGGTGACGCAGCCGCCGGGCGAACGCGCGAAGCTGCGCCCTCTACAAGCGCCGTACGTGCCGCTCTGCGACGTCCTCAAGGCTGGTGACGTGGAAGACGTTAAAGACGCAATGGATAAGATCCTCGAGTTCGGCGATGCGCTGCGCTACCTCCCAAGAGGTGATCGTTGAAAAGCACATTATTTTTAATTAGTTTATTGTCTCAATGTAATGTGTCTACTACCAACAGAGAGTGAAGTATCCGGACGTCTGCTGACGCGCAGTCCGGAGCAACAGATGAAGGAGCTAATAAACCCCGTAGACTCCGTAGACGAGTTATTCCAGCATATCTCCCAGCTGGCAGGGCTGCCGATGCACGACGGACGCGACCTAGCACGCCCTGACGCCAAACGGGACGCTGGCGAGACGATGCCTGGAGTGTTCGACGCCCGCGTGGCCACCTACGTGAAGAACTTGCAGTCTGTATACCAGATGACCAAGAAAGAAAAACACCGTCACGAACAGCGACTTGTGGCTGCTAGAGCGCACGCCATGTCACTGAGCAAAGTGTCGCCGCCGCCACTGCCAATACCGACGCAAACCTGTCTGACAATGGGCTGGGATCTGGTCGTGATGCTGCTTAAGGCTACGCGTAAGAACAACCCAGAACAATACGAGCAAGCACTCCAGATGATCAAGGATAACCTCAAGCCTCTGAAGCCAACAGCTTATTCGGACAGTATGTACCTCGCACCGTCCGCGTCGTCGGCATTCAATCTTCTCAGCGATTGTCTAGGCGACCTTGCTTATCATACAGCCGAAGAATCGACCGAAGACATGGGAGCTCGCACGATTGAGACTTTGGTGGAGGTGGGACTGGCGCGCGGCTCGCTTGCAACCATGCTCTTCGTGGTACTGTGGCTTATGAAGCAACCAGCAACGAGCTCGGTAAATTTGGACACTTCGATATGTAAACTCGCTGCACTCAAAGAACAGCCAATGTACGGGAAGTGCGAGGCTTCAGGGGAACTTTACAGTTGCGGACAGAACTCATATGGAGAATTAGGAACAGGAGATGATATTGAGCGGCATCAGCTTACCAGTATATCGCTTTGCGGGTGGGACGACATTCGTCAAGTGGCTAGTGGCAACGAGACACTGGCGGTTCTTACAAACGATGGAGTTGTGCTCACCTGTGGGCTCAACAAAAGCGGACAGTGCGGTCAGGGTCACTTTGATGAGCGCGTGATGATGCTGCGACCTGTACAGGCTTTGCGTTCCCAACGTGTGAAGTTTATTGCTGCGAGCAACGGATGTGAACACATGATCGCGCTGACCGACTCGGGACTCGCGTACTCCTGGGGGTACAACGATCGAGGACAATTGGGCCATGAAAATCTGACGACCAAAGTCCACGTCCCAAAACTGATTGAGTCGCTAAAGGACAAGAAATTGAGATACGCGTCTGTGAGCTATCATCACAGTGCGGTCATCACGGACTCGGGGGAGCTCTATGCATTTGGCATGAACGATTGTGGTCAGCTTGGACTCGACCACACGCAGCATCAGTCGACTCCGCAGCTTGTGAAGGGCTTTGAGGGCACTGAGATATCCATGGTAGCTTGCGGATTGTACCACACAATCATTTGCACAGCAACAGGGGGGCTGTTCGCCTGCGGCAAGAACGACTACGGCCAATTGGGTTTAGGCCACAATCGGCAGATCAAGGTGGCTTCGCTTGTGTCTCTTCCAAATGAAATGGTGTCTTATGTCGCTAGCGGCTACTACCACTCGGTGGTTGTTACCAATAGCGGCCGAACTTTTTCATTTGGTCGTAACGACTATGGCCAGCTAGGAATCGGAAACAAGGTTCACCAGAATGTGCCGAATGTCGTGGCATTATCTGCCAACACTAGGATGGTTCGAGCAACATGCGGATGCTACCACACTGTTCTACTTTCCGAACAAGGACAAGTATTCGTCTTCGGGCGGAACAATAAAGGGCAGCTTGGAAATCGTGGCAGCGCTGATGCCTTACTTCCTGTTCCCTTAAAGGTGCGACCGGAAAAGAACTCTCGTCGCTGTGTGGACGTCGCTGCTGGCTTCTATACGACCTCATTAATTGTGGAAAGGAAACGTGACAACGATGAAAGCGACTCGATTATGCTGGAACAATCTTGTGTCATTTCAGTTTGCGGTCGTGTTGATATCGACCGCTCCGGAGAGATCGAGGGTTTAAGCAACTTTGGTTCTATTTCCACGATAGGTGTATCGCTGTTCCGAGGGAAATGGTTCTACGAGGTAGAAGTGGTCACCAGTGGGTTGATTCAAGTGGGGTGGATCGATGGCTACTTTCAGGGGAGCTCCGATCAGGGAGAAGGAGTCGGTGACCACAATCACTCGTGGTCATACGATGGGAATCGCCAGCGCCGTTGGAACAGTGGATCGTCTTCCTACGGAGAGAAGTGGAGAGCTGGGGATGTCATTGGGTGCTTGCTCGACTTAACCACGCAGGAGATGACTTTTTTCCGCAACGGAGTGAATTTGGGTGTCGCCTACTCTGAATTTAAATGCTCTGAAGACGACAAACGATCCGGTATGATGCCTGGAATCAGTCTTGAGAGAGGCGAGATTATTCGCGTGAACCTTGGACACCAACCCTTTGCTTATCCTGCAGTTGGCCACGACTTTGAGAGCGTATCACGTGCAGTACAGCTGCCTTCATCTAGTGCAGTGATTCAGCCACCTGAAGATCACACAACTGGAGGTTTCTCGATCGAGCCTCCACCGCTAGAAGGTTCCTCCTCAGTCATGATCGGTGATAAGCTATTTGTTGTTGGCGGGATGATTCGTAACGAGTCCTCGCTGTCTCAACCAAACGAACCGACGAACCAAGTGTGGATGTATGACATTACTGCAAAACTCTGGGAAAGATGGACCGATTTTCCGATTGAAATCTGCCACCATCAAGTGGTTGCCGTTGACGACAATCACATTCTTGTTCTTGGAGGCGAGAAGGATTGTGCGGCGTCGCGGCACATGGATCTGTACAAGTGCTCCACTTTGAAAAACGCAGACGGATCGATGCCAACATGGACACTGATTCAAGCTGCGATTGGCGCTGCGACCGCTCTACCCCAGTCACGTGCATTCCACACAGCTGCAACAATTTATGCTCGCTTGGATACAATCGTCTTTATGTACGGTGGCAAGTCGGTCGACGACGAGATTCTCGGGGACGTCTGGTACTTATCTCTCGATGATTTCACTTGGTCGCGTTTGCCGAGTTCGGTATCACTTGACCCTGGCTCACGAACGGGATGCTCCTCTGCTGTAATTGGCGAGTCCGTGTACGTCTTTGGTGGGAAGGATCGTGAAGACAAGTTTCGATCCGATCTCTGGCGGTACAACACGTTTGATCGTATCTGGCACTTGTGTCATGACGATAACATTGGTGCTTTGAAAGACGTAGCTGGAAGTCTAACTAGAACTGAAACTCACTCGATGCTTCCTGATGGAAGAGTAACTTACAGTATGTGCTCTGACTACGGAAACATTTGGGTATTCGGAGGTGTCAGTCAGACCAATACTGTCTTGTGTGATATGTGGTACTTCTCCGTGTCTTCACAAAAGTGGAGCCAAGTTGAGGTGAACACCCAATCAGACCTGGACGGATGTTGCTCGGCAGCTCTGTTTGTTCGACCGGGAGCTGTCACAGCCTTACCCAGCATGACCCATCTTGAGTCATCTACCTCTAACTGCGGAGATCTATTCCTTTATGGGGGACGTGAAAGTGCTAAAGGACAAGTTTCCTGTTGCAGCACAGTCCGAAAAGTTTGTTCCGGAAACACGTCCGGCTCATACAATCTTGATATCACGAAAACCATTTCGACGAATGGGAAATCGGCGCATGTACTTAGTGCCCTTCGTTCGAGGTGTGGGGCTACTAACAGATCAAGTCAACATTGTGCAGCGGAGGCTCTAGACTCTGCTGTATGCTTGCTATCTCATTTGGATCGCTTAGCTGGAAACGACGTCCCGACAGAAGAAGCAGATTCCGTTCAGCTGTCCCGGTGCCTGTACCGTTCACTCTGTATAGACCCCAAGGAGGCGACTTTCTCGGCACTATATGCACTGCTGGAAAATATAACGACTCGCTTCTTCGGCATGGACGCACCCGATGAGAAGTCCAACTCTACATCACCGGTCACGCACGTCTTATATCCGATGCTCGTCACCATACGACTTCTTAAGCTAAACTTCTTTGAGGTACGGACATTAGTGTCGCATCTTTTTAACCTCCTATTGAATCTCCATCTAATCGTCTTACACTGATTCTTTTGTAGTTTGCGCGCAGTTGTTTGGACGGCTCCGAAATCGGATTACCAGCAACATCATATCAACCTGGGGGAGTTCTGATTTTGATTCGAGATGCGCTCTTCACGATTGCGGACCACGTTCCCGAGACGCCGTTGTCTGGGGAGGCTCTTTGGTTCTACCACGCGATAAAACACGAAACCGCATCGGCAATCTATCACGGATTCCCGACCTTGTTTCCATCCTTTTTGGATCGACTGCAAGTTATGAATCGCCTAATGGTAACCAACCAGAACTCTGAAGAGGAGATGACGCCAGCTCAGAAACTATTGGTTCCGATGCTTGTGCCGTCCTTCACGTCTGCAAAAATGTTGTTCCAGTTGATAACCGATCCTAACGTGCTATTCACAGTGGATGGTTTATCCGACGAGGTTGTTTCCGAAAGTGTAATCACATTCATGGGCACTTTGCTGGATTCACTTTGGGCGCAGACCAAGGATGCGATGGCTCACTCGTCAGAAGATATGACTAAGCTCTTGCAGAGCTTAGAAGCCATTGAAACTAGCCACGAGTTTAACTGCCTCAACATTATGCTGCGTGCGGCGATATTCTGGTGCGAGTGCTCAACACAACGAGGCTGGGTGATCATTGAATCGGTATGCGCAAAGCTGGTGGGATTCATCTCGGAGTGTCTTGATCAATGCAGCTCGATGAAACTCGATCACAGTCACCTTCTTCCCATTGCCATTCAGCGCAGTTTTTCGGGAAAATTGCTGCCATTTTTGCTGCTGAGTGTTTTTTCTTTACCTTCCGTTCGTGAAGCACTCCCTGCTTTACTGGATCCATTTTGGCCTCAGTTGGAAGCTCTCTCGTCGAAACTTCACGCTACTCTTGTGATCCTGAGCAAGCAAGGTCATTTGCAGCCATCTGGTGTAGCAGTGGATGTCCGTCCTGCGTTCAACAACTGCGCGGAGACTGACTTCGTGGATACAGCGGTTGTATCTGTTTCACAAGAACTCACAACTTGTCTTTTGAACCAGAGCAACACTAAGTCTTCTGTCACGTACGGTCAGATTTTGAAAAGCTTGTGGGACAAAATAACCCATGCGAAGGGCTACACGTCTTGGAAAGTAAAGGAACTAACCCAGAATGAGGAGATCCGACGCGTAACTATCCCGTCGGACCTTGCAAAGCTTTTCGGAACCGATTCCTTGCTGGTGAAGTCTGGTCCTGAACCTTTAGTGGAATATGATTCAAGTAGAATCTCTTTCCTGCCCAGTCGAACTCTTCTCTCGCAGCATTTGTATCCTGTGAGCGAGGGTCTACCACCTACTCCAGGAGCGACTGCAGGTCCGCCCCCAGCGCCACAGTCACTTGTAAAGAGCTCTCTTTCTAGTAGTACACGTTGCTCGGACAAAGCCATTGAAGACAGCAGCGAGTGGCTTAAGGATCTTCAAAAGGTAGTAGTGTGGGTCGGGAGCCACTACGCCGCTACTTTGATACTCGGTGGTGAGCTTGATGGTGGCGTTGTCAGCGAGAAATGGCTGCAATCCCCATTATTCCGTGGTGGATTAGACGAAACATGGCCTGATATAGATACCAGCAACAATGAGGTCGGTAGGAACGAAACCCTTCTTCTACAAGTGGTTGAAAATGTCGGCAACGGCAAAAAGCTCTTGGATAAAGTACGCAATGCTCTGGATCCTGGATCGGCTCCGGGTGGCGGAAATCCTCAGCTCCGAGCGGCGAGGCTAAAGAGACAAGACAGTGTGGAGGCAACACTTGAAAAAAGTGGTGGGATCGAGGCGGTCGACCGTGCGGTCCGTGCGACATTCGCTGCTCTCTTGAAACACACCAACATCTCCTACACGACAGAACCCATTTCAAACCAAGGGAGATTAGCTGAAACGGTGGTTGATGCCTGGAAGGCTGCACTTCAATTGCGTCGTTGGTAAATGACTCGGATGGTTTTGTATTTACCGATCATAGAAAGTCAAGCTAACTTGTTTTGTTCTTAGGATCGTGAGAGAACAGCAGAAACTAGCTGCAGTCGTCACGTAAGCTATACTTCCGTCAACCTTACCATTTTTTGCACTTTCTAAGTTATAAGTGTTGTGCCACAGTGAGACAGGGGCACCTAGCGGGTTTTCTCCTGACATGGGAGTTAAAGAGCGACAACAGGCGCTGTATAACGCTGTATGCGAGCCTATTATCCGCAAAGCACTTGTTCTACTTCAGTTGTCACCTGCGCCAATCCAATCCACCTCACCAGCTTCCTCTCCAATGAGACTTCTTCCTGGAATTTCGATGGCTACTACCTACGGTAAGACATCACTATTGCTGAGATTTGTGCTATGGCATCTCACATACCAGTTGTATGAACGACAGATTTCGCGAAAGCGTCTCAAAGTGGATCGGCTGAAACGCCAGACAAAGAACCCGAAAAAAAGCGATTTACTCGTCAGCTTAACAAACTGATGGAGACGAAGTCGGTTGAAGTGATGGAAGAAGAAGATGAGCAGATACATGCGGATATCTTTTCATTCATTCAACAGTCAAGCACGAACCTGGTGGCTCCCAATCAAGACACAGAAGGTCTTTCTCGACACCCCGAAGACCAAATGCGAGAAGTCCTGCTTGTACACCAACATCGCGGGAAAATGCGTCTACAAGGGCTGAAGACATTCGTTCGTTTGCTTCAGTGCACTGGAAATATTCCCAGCTCTCGGCTCCACGTCATTCCGATGCTATCTTCTGCTTTTAAGCGTGTACGCACGGCTCGTGGGAATATGGCAGCCGAGCAATCTTCGATTATCAAAGTGCACTATCTCGTCGACCTCGAATTTGCTGGACCACAGCTTTCCGATACGATTGGGCGAGAGTTTTTCCACTTGCTGACTATTCTCCTCGAGTCGTCAACTGATCATCTTCGTCAAGTCCAGCAGCTCATTGACGCTGGTAGCGGCGGTTTGAGTGATATAAAGTCGTCGTCTACCTCTATTCAGCTCGCTGTACACGATATGCTACTTGTGTTGGAGACTTGCTGCTTCCCTTACCGAGGCCAAGACTGGGATCATCTGCAGCGTACTAATTTGGTCACACTATTAACTGATTTGACGAGCTGGAAGGGCTGGCAGACTTTTGTTCAGCACGATGCATCTGACAACTCTTCAGCCGATGTAAACAGCTCGGAGAAGTATGCCATACTTCCTGCAGCGACGGGATCGAAGTTTCCAAACATCATCTGCTCGCGCTACATCACGCTTGGAACTGATCTCCGAAAGCTGACGATTACCCACAAGAGCCTCGAAGGCAACGATGATAGCTCCAATATATCCCAGAACAATGGCGGGCTTGCGGTGTTTGACAAAAGTTTCTACCGAGGTCGTTGGTATTGGGAGGTGTCAATTCGTGCGCTTGGTGATATCCCTGTATTTGTTGGCGTCACACCTGGCACGACAGATCTTAACACGTACATCCCAGGCGATGGTAGTCTCTGTGGTGTGTTCCTGTATCGCGAAGGCTATTCTGGAGACATGGTTGGACCAAGCGGCATCCGCTTGAATCGCAGTGACGTTCTCGGAGTTCTGTTGAACTGTGAAGAGCGACAAGTTGAGTTTTACAATGGATCAAATCGGTGCTATGCGTTCACATTAGCGTCAAGTGATTTGGCAGGATGCGGCTACTTTCCGTCGATAGGTGTGACGGGAGCAGATGTGCATTGGAATCTCGCGGCTACTGTCCCGCCAAAACTTTGGTGTGCTAGTTCTAACTTCCAATTCTCAAATGCAATCGTCTCTGCGGGGCTTGTTGCATCTCCTTTCGACGGAGCGACTATAAGTTGGAATGGAAACCGGAAAGGAGATCGCCTACAACTCATGCCAAATGGTACCACCGTTTGTGCTGGCGACTGTAGCTCGTCCGACGACCAGTTTGAGACCATTGTTGCCAGTCAGGGCTTTGAAAATGAAAGCATTTTCGTTGAGATTCGCGTGGTGGCAACGGGGAAAGACGGACGCGCAGCTCTCAGCTTCAGTATTGTTGGCAATGACTTCTTGGAATTTGATTCGCCGCTAAAGCAGAAGCTGGACGTGAAGTGGAGGAGCGCAGAGGACGTCTTGGAGTGGGGCATTTTTGGGATTCTGTTTGATTTTGAAAAGGCCACTGCAACGTTGTACTCGGATCGCTTGGAGCCGGAAGTCTGCCACTTTAACGTCGCTGCGCTAAGCAAGCCACTGTTTCCTGCCGTTTCAGCTCTCTGCAATGGGACAGTTTTTGACGTGAACTTCCACCCACATCCTCGTCTCGAGCTGCCGTCTCACGTATTTTACCCGGCTACAAAGCTCCAGAACCAGCTCACGGCCTCATCGACCGAGCTACAGCTAGGCAAGACCTTGCAGCTTCAACTATATTCGTGCGACGGTGGGGAGTTCAGCAGCTCCCATACTGCCAGCAACTGCCTTGTGGATGACACGACAGTGTACAGCTCTGCGAAGGGAGCAAACGTAAATCTGGTGTTTAAGCATGAGCTTGACACTCCGATGTGCGTAAGCTACATCACCATACGGGGACCAGGACAAGGCTACTCAAGCCCCCTACGTTGTGCCGCTGTATTTGTCACCAGTACCCCTCCTGATCTATCGAGCTATCAGGAGTTTGACAACATGACTCCAGAACAATTCGCTGCTTTGCCGTTCCCTCCGAGTAATGGATGCTGCCCACGTGACGAAACGTTACCTGTTGCGCTCTTCGTACTGGACAGCAGCTGTACACAGATTTCTAAACAGCTCGCGTATCCAGCTACAGGACGGTACATCATTGTAAAGGCGATTCGTCCTTCGACAGGAACCAATATCGATATCGGATACCTTGGGTTCTGTGGCATTTTCGATCGCGACAATGGACCTGCGTACGGTGAGACGACAACAACATCCTATAGGTGCGAGGAATGCAAGAGAATGCCGTTGCCAGGCTTACATTACGGCCAACACGATGATGACAGTATCAAACTGTGTACCGCGTGCTACGATGACAATCGAGGCGATCTCGATTCTGCTTTCTATGTTTACACCTCCAGAGAATCGGAAGAAGATCAGATGGCTGTCAATACACTGCTGTGCCCACCACGAAGGTCATGGAACGATAAGATCGCGGCATTAAGCGACGTCTTGAGCAAGTCTAAAACACCAAAGGCAGCTAGAGATGGAAGCACAGCAGGAGAAGCTGGCAGGTCAGAGATGCTTCCTACCGTTGCAAGCTTCGAAGAGTGCGAATTGTTTTCTTGCGGACAAAACAACTACGGAGAGCTTTGCTTGGGGCACTGTAACTCGACTAGCAAGTTGGAACACGTGCCGTTCTTTTCTGCAAAAGGCATTCGTGACGTCGCTGGAGGAAACGAAGTGCTCGCTGTAGTAATGAATGACGGTGGTGTATTCACGTGCGGTCTCAACAAGAGCGGTCAATGTGGCAACGGTACTTTCGAGGAGCGAGTAATTATCGCCACCCCTGTTCGTGCACTAAGTGGCATCGCTATTAGTATGGTCGCAGCTGCAAATGGATGCGAACACATGCTAGCTGTTGCCTCTGATGGCGCTGTCTTCTCTTGGGGATACAATGATCGTGGCCAACTAGGACTTGGATCGACGATTTCGAAGAGTCATACGCCGCGAATGATCGACAGTTTGAGAGAAAAGTATCACATAACGACAGCAGCAGTGAGCTATCACCACAGTGCCGTCGTGTCTAGCAATGGCGAGCTGCTCACGTTTGGAATGAATGACTGCGGCCAACTGGGTCTGGACCACACTCAACACCAGCATACCCCGCAAGTTGTTGATGCATTATCGAGCCAAGTTGTTACCAAAGCTGCGTGTGGATTGTACCACACAGTAGCAGCAACAAGTGACGGTGAGGTGTACTCTTTTGGCAAGAATGACTATGGACAGCTGGGGCTTGGTCATGCTCGCAATATAAAGACACCAGCTCTGGTGAAGACGTCACTAGGGGAAAGCGACGAGAAGATTGTAGCGGTGAGCTGTGGCTACTATCACACAGTGACGATTAGCGAGAAAGGTAAGCTCATCACGTGGGGAAGGAATGACTATGGACAACTGGGAATTGGAAGCAAAGAGCACAAGAACAGTGCGCAGTTTGTGCCCCTACCGATGTCATCAAAGATTAAGAACGCGTCGTGTGGCTGCTACCACTCGCTCATCCTCATGTCGAATGGACGGGTAATGGTGTTTGGGCGTAACAACAAGGGTCAACTTGGAGCCGGGGCAAGGACCCTTTCATCTGCTGATCTACCTCTCCCAGTTCCTTCGAACTCGTTGGCAAACGATGAAGTGGTTCGTATAGCTGCTGGCTTTTACAGCTCCTACATCCTTACCGGTCGCTCAAGCGACAATGCTGACCTTGACGGAGCAGCAGATGATGTGAATCAGTCAAAAGACCTCCCGGAGAATAGCTGTCTCGAGAACTCAGATGCACTTTTCGAGTCACTCATGAAGGAGATTGACTCTAAGTACGTCACAGATGTCGTACCAAAGCGGACACCGCTCCAACTCATGCGAGGATATTCGCAGCGCAAGTTACCGCTGGTGAAGTTACATGCTGCTGGATGGGCGATGGCACGCGCTTTGATGTATCGCTCTATTCAAGATGCCGATGACAAAACCTCGAAACGTGCGGGTGGACGTGTGAATCCCGTGCTTTCGTTGTTCATAAGCTTTTTGTTGGAAAACCTGAAATTATTGCAAGACGACTCTCTGTCTGGTGCCGTTTGGACGGCGACATCATCTTTTGAACTGGGTGGAAGTGTCTCGTTAAAGCGAGTGTGCGTAGGGCTACTTCAGTACTTTGGTGCCAAGTTTGCAGTACCTTCACCAACGGTGGGACTGGTAGGCGGACAGACTCTGGACAAGCTTCACGGTCATTTCTACAAGAATCAGATTCTAAGTGTCCTCCTTGCGTGCGGCTCTGCGAACACGAACGTTGGCTCTACAATAGCTGCGAACCCTGTGGTTACCGCGCACATTATTGGTGGAATGAATTCCTCCGACGTTGCGTCAGCAACGATGTGCATTCGACTGGCGATGCTGGTGTTCCCGCATCACTCTATGTCTGCGCTCAATACGATCTATCGATCGCAACAATTCACACCAGCGACGTCCGGGGATATTCTCACGATGCTGATGACTCTTGTGGGGCTTCCAATGCTCCTGCGACCACGCCTTTGCTCGCACGAGCTTGGTTTGGAGTGCTCGAGCACAGCTTTATGCCAGTCAGCTTGCTGTCTGAAAGGGATAGCGGTGACAAAAGATACAGGGATTTCGCACACACAGCAAGTTGTGCTGGAGAAGGCTCACGTTGCAGATTCGAAGGCGGCTGAGGTTGTGGCGCTGCTGCGGTATCTCACACTTTATCCGACGTGGAAAGTAGCCATCAACGCCGCAATTACTCGAGGTTTTGCCAGGTCAAACAAGGTTGGAGAGTTGCTGGATGCCATCTGCGCATACTACACAAACGTGCAGCAGGCGGATATTGTGGATCTTCAAACCGCAGTACTTGGCGGTCTAGCAGGAGACAAAGATGCTACGTCGCTGAGAAAACCTGAGTCGACTACTTCGTCGCCCGAGACGGACGAGTCGGTCAATAACACAGTGGATAGTAACACCCAAGCTGAAGAATCGGAGTCTACCAGTCGAGATAAACAATCGCTACTGCTTTGGCAAAAAGCGAAGGATGCTCTGGACGGGTTAGCGATGATTATAGCTGCCGTTAGTATCGTCGGTGGTCATGTCGAGGGCTTCAGAGAAGGCGGGTGTGTGACTATTGAAGACGATGGCACCCAGGGCTCGCGTAGATTGGGTGTGCTTTCGGGTGTTATGCGAGATCCACGCACTGCTGATTTACTGGCTCAGGTGGTCGTGAACTCCAGTGCTGAAGCTCCAGTTTCCCCTTTGATTCCAGCGGATGCAAGAGCCCAGGCTTTCTCGTTATCGAAGCTTCATGTAGTGGAGCGCGTTCCGGCACTTGTCGACATGTTTGGGGATGTTGAGGGCATCATTACGACGTTGTCATCGCTAGTTTCTGAGGTTTTGTCGGTTGATAAGGAGTGTGCCACGCACTGTGATCTGGAGCTGCCTCAAAACAACTCTGTCCAGGAGGTTCTGCGGAACCGGCTTAAGATGTACAAGCATCAACTACGGTGGAGATCAGCAAAGGCGTTATCGTCTTTACTGAAACAGATCTCGACCCTCAGTCCAACGCAGTTAAGTATGGATTCCCAACTCGTATCAAGCCTGGCCTCATTGCTATCGTCCGAGAATTCGCTTTCGTGGGCCAGCAAATCCGAGGTGACGGGACTAGAAACTGCGACTACTCTTCAAAAGCGATGGATTTGTGTAAAGCAGCGCCAAATTTTCTTGGATACTGAAGAAGTTATCGACTCTGCATTGGACCATTATGAAGTCGAAATGCGCGACCAAGTTGTGCAAAAGCTGGGAAGTGAAAATGCACTAAGCTGGGGAATGGATGCCATCCAGTCGCCTCGCCGTAAGGTTACTCATCCGTCGTTTGCAGGCTCTGGTGGAGCGAAGCAGCGGGCTGATCGATCCAGTGATGGAGATCTGCCGTTTGGTACGTGGGGTATTTTGTTGCCTCTACCACCGCTTAATGAGAACGAACATGCGGTTGGTCCGGGAAGTTCAGCCATCGACTACACTCCGTTCCCGCTTACGGCCCCTATCATCCGTGTTGGTCGTGCTGCCGATGCGTGTGATCTCATTGTGAATGACCGAAGTGTCAGTGGCCGCCACTTCCACCTACGACGCTTGCGACGTGAAGCTGAGGGAGGTGAAACACAATTTGAGCTTCAGGATTTCAGCAAGAACGGCACTATCGTGAATGGTGTGAGGATCCATGGATCGAGCACTCGAATCACCACGGGATCTCGGATCTCGTTGATATTGTCCCGAGGTGGATTGGTGACGTATGAGTTCCAGGTCCGTGGAAGCACAGGAGGTCGTCACCCTGCTATTCTCACGGGGTCACAAAACCCAGGCGACCTGAATATTTCCATTCCTGGCCAGGAATACCAGCAACCACAGATTGGCACACCCCAGATCGTACCACGGAGTCCTGCAGAATTGCAAAACCGCGGGAACCGTGGAGGTGCTGTCCCTTTGGAGAGTGTCGCTGATAACCGAAGCCGTCAGGCAGTAACGCAGGGTTTGAGAGTCATCACGTCGATAGCAGAAAGCGATGTTCCTCGTGCTCTACTTTCGCCAAACCCAGCCATGGATTCCCCCCGAGCTGGTGGATATTCATCTCCTCGATCTTCAGTTCTTCAAGCACCTGGTACTCCTTCTGTGGGACCTCTTACTCCAAGCATGTTTTCCACCATAATGCCGCCTGCTCTACTTTCTCCTGCGTCCTACCAGCAGCGTGAAAGTGTTGCACCAACTGGACCTACAGGAGTCACATCTCCTCAAGGAGGTGTTGGGTCGATGCTCCGTATTGCTCTAGGTCGCGACAGTGTCAATCGCGAGTCCCGGCCTAATATGCCGAACGAGCTTGCCAAGACTCGAGTCTTACGCTCTAGTGGGCAAATCGGTTTGACCACGCGTTCGGTACGTCTCACGTCTGTTAGTTTTGAACACTTTTGTGAGATCTAATAGGTATCCTTCCATCTATTGTCCCTTCAGAATGCCAGCCAAGCACAGGAGATGCAAGTACTCGCACTACGTCTCCTTGCCCGAACTCAAGACGCCAACCTCGTTGTCAGTGCTACTGAGTGCGAGGAGGCACTTCAAGTGACAGCTGGCAACTCGGACGAGGCATTCGTGATGATCCAGCGAAGTCGCGGATCATTCTCGGTATGTGAAATGGTTACTTTGCATATCGTATTGGCTTATTACGCTAACCGATACTTTTTTTTCTAATGCTCTGCAGCGCAATTATTCGTCAAATGTGCGTCACTTGGCGATGGTGCTCGGCCGAAGTGAACCAGTGTGTGCAGAAGCACTGCGTCAAACCGATGGCAGTTTTGGTGACGCATTGCGCTTGCTTCTGACAAGCAGAGCAACTGAGCCGGAGAAGTCTGTGTTGTCACTCAGACATGTAAGCGCCAACGAGGCTCTGCAATCTAGTGAGCCACTGGTAAACTTCCAGGACATTGGTGACGAGAATCCGAGTTACACTCTGACTGAGTCTAGTGCGCTACATCCACCAGCTCCTCCGCGTCTAGCGGCCAGATTGAATGAGAGTCCTGTGAAAACAAAGAAGATGGAACACACGGGGAACGTAGATGCACTCCAACCGAAGTCCGATCTGACACTGTGGAGTGAATGCAACAGTAGTTTCGACGAATCAGTTCGACAGATGAATTCGTTTGAAGTCGAGTTGGAGGAGGAAGTACTCTGTGAGCGTCTTGCTGCTATTCACGCACGAAAGATTCTTCTTCAGATCGTGAGGCTCTTCACGCACGCGACGCAAACCGAGGAAGCGCCTCTGAGCGAACTAACGGACCCTCTCGTTCTTCGCTCCTTGATATCGATTCTGAATGTACCCGGACAAGCTAACATCAGTTCACCGTACGAGCTGGAGTACCAGCTGCAACAGCAACCAAACGCTCGAAAGAGTGGTAAAATCCAGCAGATCTTGTCTCGTATGGTTAACGACGTGATGGCTCGCTCCCCTACAGAGACGTTGGCCAGAAACTTGTGCTCGACTCAAGACTTGTCTACTCTTCAAAGATCCATTGACCAAGTGACCGAACGACCAACGAAGATTGGCTGGACAGGTATCACGAGACTCATCGAATCTCTGGTCGAGAACGAACAAACCCGAGGAGAGGACGTGAACGGCCAGAGTCCTCCAACCACGTTAGAGAATCTCACGTTTGAGACAGTCCTACACGTTCTTTCGCGCACGTACGCAGCTCCAATGGCAGCTCTGGACTGGGATAGCTCTCGTCTTCGAACCCGCAAAGCTGATGGCTCTTTCCCCAAAGGTCCAATACGTCTTTCGTGTGGTCTGGAAGTTGTAGTGGTGGACACTTATGAGCGTTTGTGGAGTATCCCACCTTCTGATCCCATACTTAAGCACCGTCACAAATGGCGAAAACGGTTCTCTAGTGGTATGGAGAATGGATGGATGAAGTCAGCAGCAGATTACGCCGTGACAATTTGGCGGCCGGCACTACCCCCAGGGCTTGATTCGGCTGCGTCAGGTTCTAGTTGGTTCTGTCTCGGTGACGTTGCAAAGTGCGGTAATGGTGCTCCCGATGCTCCAATGCTTCTTGTCAATGACAGCGACAACCATGGACTTCTGGCACCTCCAGTTAGTTTTGAACGAGTGGATATAACCGGAAAGGGTTTACCCAGAAACTCAGAGAGTGATCCAGATTTCCAACGTAAGCAGCTTCGCTCGATTTGGTGGCCTGTTGCGCCGTCCGGATACGTTGCGCTAGGCTGTGTTGCTGGAAGCAAAGAAGACCCCTTTGAACCCCCAGACGTGTCGTGCACCCGCTGTGTACGCGAAGATATTGTGAAACAAGTTGACGGCTTCCACTGCGTGTGGCGTGCAGAGTCTCCTGTATCCACTGGAGGTGGAGGAGTGGAGCTTCCAACTACTATTGAGGTTGAAAATGACGAGGAGAATGAAGGAGAGAACGATGGTTCGGGTCACGCTCTTGGTAGTCGTAGCACCAAGAACCAGTCTCCTGATTCCTCCCGGTTGCAGCTGCTGCTTCCTGTTGCTGATGATGTTGTCGTTCAGACATCGCTTTGGGCGGTGGACGCAGACTTCAGTTGTGGTCTACTTCTTCCAGTCGTCACACTAAACGATGCGAGCGCGAATGATCCCGGCACTGCATTCGCTCTGAATCTTTCGGATGACGATCTAGTTCTTTGTGCTCCTGTAAGCGTGGACAACGTGCTAGTATTCCTCGAGATATTGCTTCAGTACCAACAACTGCAGTCGACAAAGCAGCAAACTAAACAGATTTTCTCGACTCAACTGCGCCCTGAACTGCCCGCCGCACTGTTTGCTCTGATTCAGCAAGTGTTACGCGAGAATCAACCATCCAGTGGGAAAAGTGCTGTGTCGCTTGTGCGTGCTCTAATTTCTGTAGTACAGCGTGGTGCGCTTTGGTATGACAAGCAAGCGCTTCTTTACTGTCGCTCTAAGATTATGGCTCTGAGTCAAGACCACGACGGCGGATTTACGCTGCATGCTCTACTACAAGCTTTCGTGGAGTTGATGCTAGCTGTCGAGGATCAGCAACACAGTCAACGAGTACAGGAACTCGCTGCTTGCTTGGATCGCGATGGTGGTAACTCACTGAGTCTACCGTATCGCTTCCACTTCGCCAAGCAGCCATTCGTGGAGATGTTGGTGAGCCATTCGTCAAAGATGGCAGTCATGCGGCATTTGTCTGGAGACGAGCGTAAGTTCTTACTAGATTATCGCTCTGAAGATGGCAGCAACCGAGACGCGCTGGCCGTTGAGGGACTGGGTTCTCCACCTGGGGAAGTGTATTCGTGCCGCTTTGAACATACACCAGCTCTCGTCATGACAATGCGAGACGAGGTGAAAGCTGAAATTGTGTATTTCGAGGTCACTGTCATGGAATGGAGTACTAATTCTAGTATGGGAGGGTCGCTTGCGCTTGGATTTTCGCCTCCGCCATTCCCACTCGAAGGAGTGCTAGTGGGTGGTAGCGCAGATGGCTCACGCTCTTACTCGTTCGCACCAGCGAACGGTCAAGTACTCTGCGCAGGTGACACCGTTGTGGATCGCTGGCGATGGATTGAGCCTGGTGGTGCTGTGAGTCCTGGAGATGTGTTTGGTTGTGGCTTACGACTTGATACACAGGAAATGTTTGTCTGTAAGAATGGCCAGCTGCTAGGCACCGCCTTCTCGAGTATTGCACGGCCTCAAGAACTCCACCCAACGATTTCGTTTAACGCAGACTGCAAGCTACTTGCCAACCTTGGAGCTACAACAGCAACACCAGCAAAGCACGCGAACTTCAGCTTCAGGTTCCATTCACTAGACTGCGACAACCTCATGAGTTCATTCGAGTGGTTCGAGCCACTGAGTCAAGTTTACGGCGTGATGAAGGCGTTAATGGACCCAGCGAGACCGGACAACGTGGATGCTCGTGACGAGCCAACCGATGAACTCGTTAACACTGCTGTTGTGGCTCAGCTACCCGATGAATTCATGCTTTCAGCTGACAATTTCCTATCGGACATCTCTGAGGATGTCTGCATTCGCGTGGAGAGTGCACACCCGTATGATCTTGAGCTTCAAGAGTCCCTTGTTAGCATTCCGCTAGCTACAAGCATCCGAGTTCGGTTGGATCCTCAAAGTGAGACGGCCAGCTCTCACTGCTTGCAGATTCTACAAGGCGGAAGTACAATAGGAGGTGAAGGCGAAGGTACAACAACCGGAGAAGCAGAGATTAGAGCATTTACGGGTGCTTGTGGGGGTCAAGAAGTTACGATTGACGGTGACAGCTTCGTGTGGCGATTCCCCGTTCAATCCAATTTCCAGTGTCGTGTGGATCGTGTACGCAAAGGGCCTTATATTAAACTCGAAGCGCGAGATACCAGACTGTCACTAGTGCGGGATAAAGGCTGGCAAACAGCTATCGGTGTTGCGCGATTTGATGGAGGAGTGCACATTTGGGAGGTTCGCATTTCTTTTGTGACTGCAAGCTCCAATATCTTCTTAGGTATCGGTCGCCGAGATGTTCGCTTGGACTCGTACTTAGGCAAGGATAACCGAGGATGGGGATGGATCGGAAATCGTGCACTCTGGCACAATGGCAGCAAACAACGTGGCACTTACGGCGACAAGTTTAAGACGGGAGATATTGTCCGTCTCACACTGGATCTACGTCGCGGTACACTTAGTTATGCGCTTAATGGAAAAGATCTGGGTGTCGCGTTTGGTCCTGGTGGTACTGGTCCGAAGCTGGAGGGCACGTTCTACCCTGCTTTCGCGCTGTACAACCAACGGGACTCGATTGATCTGATCGGTGGGCATCGTGTAGAGGACGGAGGACTGGAGCCAGGGCTCTCTCGAACTGGCAGCGGACTGGCAAGTGGAGAAGATTCATACTACAGCGAAGAAGAAGAAGATCTAGGAGGTTTCACCAGTGGTGAGGGGGATGGCTCTATCCCGAATTTCCGGATGGAATTGGCTATCGCACTCAGTCAAATGGGGTTCCCCATGGAGTGGTGTCTCTACGCTCTGCGTCATTGTGAAGACGATGCTGAGCAGGCTGCGGATTATATCTTAGCCAATATGCACGCGATTGAATCGCTTGTTCGGGAAGAAAATGAAGTCACGGCACGTCGCACACGACACCGCCAACTACTGCATGAACAGGCCTTAGCTCTGTCTGAAAGCGAAGCACTAGATACTTTAATACCGCCTCCACCACCTATCGAAGACGACGACGATGCTGTTCGCTCCATGGAAGAGGTAGCCTCTACAGGCGACGACGATGCATCCACTTTACCTCTGCAGCAACAGTCAAGCGGAGACACTAAATGGGGTGTGGCGTTTACAGCTGTACCCGAGTTCTCCGTTACTGGACGCCGTCTACTGGCAGCCAAATACGGTCCCAAGCTGCGTCGATTACATGCGTCGCAGCGAGTATTCACTCCAGCACGTGATCACGCTCTCGTACAACTTGTAAACGAGATCTGCGAGTCACGTGCTGAGGCATTACAAAGTTGCGATCCTCTCCGCATGACTCCTGAGGATTTCGTCCCGACCGAAGAACAGATCCATCGATTCCCGGCTTTACGAGGCATGCCTCTCGAAGCACTCCAGCGTCGCTTTTTGGTGCTGCGAAACTTCAATTGTCGGCTGCAGATATCTCTGGCTTTCATTGATTTCTCGGCTAACAACGAGCGTTCTCTTCTGGCAAGAGGTGCACGTGAACTTCGTGGCGTGGTCTTCCAGCATGTGAAGCTTGCGTGGTGGCTCGGTGTATTGAAAGAGCAGCAAGCTCCTGCTGCAGCTCGTCCAGAAATCGAAGTCGACCGTCATCGTGCTCACGACGCACTTGAACTTTCTGAGCGTGGCGATCCACTTGCTGGTGAGGCTGGCGAGCGGGATAGTGTGTTTGCGCAGACGTTTGAACAACTCCACGGACTGCAGCCAGCATTGCTGCGAGGGGCTGATAGAGCCTTCAAATGCCAATTTGTGGGAGAGTTTGGTGACGATTTTGGTGGCTTGTACCGTGAATGCTTAGCTCAGCTAAGCTCCGAGTTGCAGACCTTCACGCCACTGCTGCCTGTGCTACGCCCATGCCCTAATGAACTGATGAGCACAGGTGAAAACCGAGAGCTTTACGTTCCTAACTCCCACTTACGCTGTCACCCACGCCGAGTGCAGATGGCAGAATTTCTCGGGAAACTTGCAGGTGTGGCTGTGCGGACTAAAACGCCACTTGATCTGAATCTGCCGCCTGCTGTATGGAAGCTCCTAGTGGGGCAACAAGTGACCCGCCACGATATCGAAGCTATCCATCAAGGATGTTTCCAAGTCGTGGATACTATCGCCGATCTTGATTCTCACGGTATTACAGAAGACATGTTTGATGAACTTGTAGACGCAAGCTTCACCGTGCTATCTAGTACGCGGGAGACTGTCGAGCTGGTGCCGGGTGGTAAAAACTTGCACGTGACGTGGGGAGACCGGGAAGAATACGCATGTGCAGTGGAAACGTACCGTTTGACTGAATTTGCGCCTGTGTGTGGAGATATCTCGCGAGGCGTGGCGACTATTCTACCCGCACCAACGCTTGGAATTTTCTCGTGGCATGAACTGCGGACTTTAGTGTGCGGTAAAGCCACAGTTGACATAGCTCTTCTACGCCGACGGACCATATACGGTGACGGCTGCCAGGGAACAGACCCGCACATCGCCTACTTTTGGGACGTTCTGGCAGAGTTCAGTGATGAACAGAAGTCATCATTCCTGCGCTTTGTCTGGTAAGTCTGCAACATCATTACGTCTTGTGACGATGAGTTGGTCTAATTTGTTGACATCATTTGCGTGGCTTACAGGGGTCGATCGCGGCTGCCGACACATGCAGCAGATTTCACGCAGGACTTTAAGATTTCAGGGCTACCCAAGGCTGCAGGTCGTGCCGACATGTACCTGCCTATTGCTCATACCTGTAAGCTTGTTGTGATCTGTTGCGTGTGTTGTTCATGTCTCTGACAGTTCTGAGTGCCTGCAGGTTTCTTTTCGATCGATCTCCCTGCCTATTCGTGCAGAGAAGTCATGCATGACAAGCTGGTGTATGCCATCACTCACTGCCAGTCCATCGATGCGGATAATACGACCGTAGCTCAACGAGCTGGCCAAGGAATCAACTGGACCAATACTGCTGCTACAGCTACAGCCACTGCAGCTGCTGCAGTGTCGAGTGTCATTGCTGGAATGACTTCCGTTAGTGGAGAGTGATCATTGCATCGCCACGAAATACATTCTTAAGAATTCATATTTTTATTTGAAACGATCAATTTCACATTCCTAGTAAACAGTCATTTTCAAGTTGTCTTTGCACTGGTCTGTTTGTTCTTGGGTTCCTTTTTGCGGGTGATCCGAGGAGGAACAGCTCGCTCGAATGCGCGTTTCCAGTCTCCGTGATTTGCTACCTCATTCAGCACAATAAGGACAGAATCCAGATTCATGATATGAGTTCGCACGCGTGACCCCAATTGCTCAAAGTGCTCTTGAAGCGGCAAACGTGCGGTTCGAATGCCACGTGAAGCTGCCTTCGTTTTCGTCTCGCCCTGTTACGAAACACCGGTGTTAAGTTAGCTAAATTGTATCACAGCAACATCCTAAGCAGACCCACCTTGCGAACAGAGCGATCGACGATCCCCCCGACGATGTACACAAATGCTGGATCAAGGTGCTCCAGTACGTTGTCTGAATCTGGCGAAAGGTACACGAGCTTATCAGCGTCGTAAAGCTGCTCGAGCGGTTCTTCATGTCTTCCAATCTAGCACACAACATTATACGATCAGTACTATCCTATTAGGTACGCTCTAAAACTTTTGCGTACCTTCCAGCATGCTGCGCACAGATGCTTGCAAGTCCTTGGGTACAGGACGCAAGGTGTAGCGATAATAACCGGTCCAACGGACAGGTCTTCAGATATCCGTAGACACACCCGAGCTGTTTCAAAATACTGTGACTCTCCTTCAACAACAACATGCAACGGGTTAGACCTCCGACGACTTGATGCAGTTAACCTGCAACAAAACCTACTCTTGTCGTCTGGTCTAGCGCAAAGGCCAAGTCGACCACCACCTGAATTCCACTTGACTGAGCTTCCTCCAGCTTTTGCTGCAACAAAGGAACAGTAAAATAGCATCGGCATCACGTACGAACTCCGATGTAGCGACAAACCCACGTATTGTTCCACGCGCTGCATGCGAATCCGCTCACGTTTCTCGTTTTTCTCTTCCCCTGTCGTGTTTTCTCGTTCAACTGATAGCGTTAAACTTCGCTCCAGTTTCTTGGTCTTCAGTCGCTCATCTTTGCGATTACGTCGATTGGAGCGCATCATTTCACGTCGAGATTTCTTGGTAGTTTTCTCTGGTTTACTAATGTATTGCAAACCATAGCGATATCCACGCAGGCCTAACGCCCAACATGTCGAGACGATCACTACGCCCAACACTACTGACGTGACTCGCATATTATGCAGTCAAATATTATTTGCGTGACTTCCATGTGATTGGTTTCTAAAACCTTTTTAAGCGATATCATTGGGCGATAATCTGCTGGCTCTGACGCTGTAGCAATCGTGGCCACTAGCTCACTTGGTGATGGCAAAGAAGCGTCGACGCTCCGATAGCTTCCAGGCTGACGACGATGACGCTCGTAAGAGGCTAGCAGCTTTCCACGCTCGGATGTTTGAGATGCCACAGGAAGATGCGCCTGCTGCGACACCAGAGACGCCCCGCGTAGCGTTTAAGGCAAAGAGCAAGAAGCACAAGAAGAAATCTTCAGAGGCAGATGATGGAGAGCCTGTGCCTGTGGTTAAGTTCCACAAGGTGCAGAAAAAGAAAGAGAAGAAGAAGAAGCAAGTGGCAACTGTTGCGGATAAAATACTAGTGAATGGTCCGTCAGTCGTGAAAGCTCCTGGCGTGTCGAATCATGTTAAGAACAAACCACAGGGAAATAATACTGAGAAGAAGAATAAGATGATTAAGACGAACGTACGAAACCCACAGCGGAACCGCATGAAGAAGAACGAGGTAACACGAGAGGAATATGACGGAGTGGATCCGTTGGAGCAGGCGCTGGGCAGTGTGCAAGCGACGGTAACGGTTAGGAAAGTGAAAAAGGTGAAGAAGAAAACGGTGCAAAGTCCACCGATACATTCGGTGAATGTAGAGAAGGAAGAAGAGGATGACGAAATGGATCCGTTGGAGCAGGCGTTGGGCAGTATTAGCGCAATGGTGACGACGCAGGAGGCCAACTCACCGCCCAAGAAGAAGCGCAAGCATGTGCTCCTTGCTGCACCGAGTGAAGAGAAGCAAGCTGATATTGTGGATATAACTCGCGAGAAAGAAGCTCCTGCAGCAGTTGCTGTGAAGAACGACGCTGCTGGTGGCGCGAATGTAGCCAATTTGAAGAGTAAAAAGAAGCGAGACAAGAAGAAGCGGAAAGAAGCGGCCAAGCTGGGATTAATGAACAGCATTTCACCCAAGACACAGACATCTGCACAGCCTAGACAAGGAACTCTGCTACTTGTGTCGGACGAGGTAGAAGATCAAGTTGTGAGCAGCACAACTGCATCCAAGAAGCCCAATTCAATACCATCCAAAACGGCGAAAACTGCGCCGACTAAGGAGGATTCAACTATTGTCAAGACTGTTGCTGCAAAGAAGAAGGCTGTTCCTTATCGGGAAAAGAAAGCTGAGGCAACAACAAAACCGCTGACTCCAATTGCAGCTTCCTTAGCTAAGGATGCGACAAAGAAGAACGACATGTTCGTATCAGCTCAAGAAACACAGTGCCAACGTTCACCTTCGCCGAAACGCTCAGGAAAGACTATACCGTCTCAAGTCGTTCAGCTCGCTGACGCGTCTGCTTCATCGGAAAGCGAGGATGACTTTGATCGCCGTGATAATAGCGACTCGTCATTTTTTTCTCGGCTCATCGACTCTGCTGCTCGAGAACGATGGGAGCTGGTGGAGGTCGGCCGTCTAGTTCGACTGTTTGCTGCGCAGTGGGATTTCAAAGCGAGCAAGACCGCGCGCTTCCTACTCGATACGTGCCCAGAGCTGGTTAGTGTGGACTTTTTGGAAGGATTGGGTGTGAACTTATCGGCAAAACAGCTCGTACAAGTCTTTGAGGCCGGCTCGGGTAACCCCGGTGTGATGATGAACAAAATGGCATCGGCTGTGGAGAATGGACACTTAAGTGTGCGTGACCCGTCCTTCGTCTCAGCTTTGGAGCGTCGTGTCGCGCTGATGGAGTCGAACGCTGAGGTTATGGAGCTACTGCATCCACTACTAGAGAGCTTGTCTACTGTCCGAGATGTTGGTTGTTTACTGAAGCAGCTGTGCGAGCACTGGCAACTTGAGCGCAAAATCTCCTTGGTTCAGCAGGTTCTGCTGTCGAACGTTTTCGACGATCTAGACGGCAACCAGGATGAGATTCTTCTTGACTTGCCTGATCTTACTGGACGACTGGACTTCCCTAGCCGCTTGGACCAGGAAGATGTTGATGAAAATGGCAATCTCAAGGGATTCCTTGCTAACGAAGACAGCGAGTTCAGTGGAGAAGAGGGATCTGAAGAAGAAGAACACGAGAACGATAGTGAAGACGACGAGTTTCCGTGTGAGGGTGAGACCGACTCGGACGAAGAGATGGAGATATCGGGGTGCTCTCGTAGCCGCAACCAGTTTATCGAAGACGAAGCCGATGTCGGGGAAGATGAGGATGAAGAAGATACAGAGAATGAGAACGAGCACCTTCATGACGATGGATCATCGTCTGATAGCGACTGAAACGCGAATGAAAATACAGTTCGGTTCAACACAATCCCTTATTGCAGGATGAAAGCTTGCGACCCAAGTCTACGTCGAAAACATGGCGTTTAAGGCCGCCAGAATAGCAAAAATGAGGGCAACCCACATGTACGGAGCCATGCCACTGCCTTCCTTGGTGTTCTTAGACACCTTTTTCTTTGCGTGAGCAATAGCGGCTGCGCATTTCATCACACGCACACAACATGTCATGTTAGACCGATACATTAGTAAATGTACAGGTTTGCAGGCAGAGAAACCTACCAGCACGGGCTGCAGCAGTCTTGTCTTGGTACATTTCATCATCGGCGCCCTTACCACGACGACCGCCTTTCTTTGAGGGCTTGACAGCAGACTCCTCCACCGGATCTTCCGCATCGATATCTTGCTCAAACGTTTGTTGGGCAGTCAAGCCATTCTTGTTCTCCTCGGATATCAAATCTGGGAACGCAGTAGTCAACACCTCCGCAGCCGCAGTAGGCCAGTTTGTAGTAGGGTCACAGTGCATCGCCTCCGAGTGCAGCGGCGTATTCCCATGAGTGTTCTTGACAGGTTTAGCACCCTACACAGACATTGTCGCGTTAAATCTGAACAGTACCAATAGTAAAAGAGCGAAAGTACGAACCTTAGAGATCAAATAGTTGATCAGATCGATTTGGTCATCGCCGTTCTTGATACACGCCCAGTGCCTGTAGATACCAGAATTTAGTATCATCTACCTAAATTCCAAACGTTTACAGCACCCTTACAAAGGTGTGTTACCCTTGGCGTCCACCACGTTGACGTTGGCACGACCCGTCTCGATCAGCAGCTGGACGATCTCAAGATTGCCCTTTCCGACGGCGACATGGAGCGCCGTCATCTTCTTGTTGTCGACTGCATCCACCTTAGGCTTTGCTCTTAGCAGCAGCTTTAACGACTCCTCCTCTTCATACTCTGCAGTCGCATAGCATAAAGTTAGTAATCTTCTTCAGCTCTCCACTGTCGCTGCATATTGTACCGGCAGCTAGATGCAGAACGGTCTGGCCCGACGAGTCCTGCACACTTAGATCGGGTTTGCCTTTGAGTAGTATCTGGAAAATCTCCTCAAAACTCGGCGGCTGCTGAGCCAGCGCCAGCATAAGCGGTGTGAAGCGACGCTTCTTCTCCTGCAGATTTAGCATGGCACCATTGGACACGAGGTGTTGCACGATCTCCAGCTGATCTTCGGCCACTGCCACGTGCAGCACTAAAAACGAGGCATTTTTTTTCAATCAAATAAACGGTTAGTCGTGTGATGCAGCAGTCGTAACGCGGGTATGATTTTAACAGCAGCATACCGGACTCGCCCTTCTTGTTCTGAAAGCTCCAGTCACTGCGCAGCTCGATCACCTTCTCGAGGTTCCCGTTCGCTGCGGCACGAAGTAGTTGCGCCATGGTTGTGGATTTAAATAAGAGGATTAAGGGGGTCAAATGATATTGTATCTATTTGGTAGGAGAGAATGCGTCCTACTAGGAGTCCTAAAGTGTCCTATTGTCCTAAAACCTGGGATAAAAAACTAGCAATTCGGCTCATAAACAAACCCATATTTAGGACAACACAATGAGTTTTAGGACGAAACAAGCCAGGGTCCGCGTGTCCTAATAAGACACTCGACAACTGGACACTCAGTCTGTCCTATTAGGACAGACTGCAACTTGTCCTATTAGGACAACACCAAGCCCAACATGCACTGTCCTCAAGCCATATCCTCAACTGGCCTAGCTAGAAACAATAAACATCTTAAAGCCCCTCTCTCCAAGAGCAGCCGATTCTTTGTTGTACGCGAAAAGCACCTCAACAAAACTTCTCTACTACATAGTGTGTGACAAAGTGTTTCAAAGGATGATAGTCATTGAAGGTAATAATAGCCGCTAATAACGGTTGAGCGACTTCAACATGCACAGCAAACGACGGTTAATTATCAGAGCGTGACGACAAAAGGGGGGGGGGCTCAAAAAGCAGCAAAGTACTCGCAAGGGCTACTTGGCTGCAAGTCGATCCGAAGACGCGGTTAGCAAGCGATGGGGGTCTTGGTTAGCGCGGCGGTGTGCTCGGCCTGGTTCGTCAAGTTGCCTGGCGTCGTCGGGGTGTCGACAACAGGTGCGTTTGTGGCAGGCGAGTCTGGGAGCCGACGTCGATGGGCAGTTGGACGGCACGTAGACTACCAGGTCGGCCTTCAGGTTGGAACCGACACCGACCGGCAGTTGGCACTCCTCCAGGTTCATGGCCTTCACGTCAGCGAGCAGGGTGTTGCAGGCAGTCGAGGCGCACATCTTGTCAATGGTGGCCTGGTCCGGGATCTCAGTGGTGTCCGTGCCGCACTGTTGAATGTTCGCGCTCGTGAGCAGAGCGGACAAGACACTGCTTCCGCAGGTGGCAGCAGATGCCAGATAGGCGAGCGCCCTAGCTGCAGAAGGAGTAGCCGCAATGGTCCATGATGCTTGGCTGCAGTAGTGGAGATTCAGAAATTGGTGTGCCCCAGGACAATAAGTAAAGCCAATGTGAGTTTTAAGTAACTCTTACGTAAATTTACGTAGATAGTCCGGAAAAAGTTAATATTTGAGGATTAGGACAATCTGGAGGACACAAATTATAATATTCTGTAACGAAGGATTAGTCGCTTTTTAGGACACATCTCCAAAATCTCCCTGTAAAATTTAGGACAAATAGGACAGTTTAGACGCATTATCCTACACCATCTATTTGACCAATCGTTAGGCCTGAATTTGAAGGTCGTCAGATGAAACTTGAACTGCACAGCTGTACAGTGTATCCATGTAATTGGCGGCCGTTGTGGACTGGAGTCCACACTTACGGCTGCATAAGTTAAATGTTGCAACAGGTTTTGTTGTAGCTAGAGCTGGAATTTTTGCTCGGACTCGTGATCTTCTGAAGTCCACAACACTGAAGCGGGGAACGGCGCAGCGACTGTCGAAGAGTTGGGCGGCGTGAGGTGGGGAGAGTGAAACTTAGGAGGTAGAGACGCCGTGTGCACGGGCGTGGTCGAATTTACGGCATCCATTGGGATATGCACCACCGGGGCGAGCACACGAGCAGTATTTGTGTCGGTCTTCACCTGTGACTCGACGCTGAGCTTCATTTTGGACACAGCAGATGCCATGCGGACGTCATGTTCTACTTCGTGAAACATGTCCTCGGTGCTGGACAAAATGTGTAGCAGACTCGGGTAGCTCGAGAATGACGACAAGTTCACCTTACGGCGCATGTACTTGGACCGCGTGTTGTATCCCGTCATTTTGTCGTGCTTTTTGAGGATCTGATTACAAGAAAAAGTTTTTTTTAGAAACCCGTTTTGTTTCAACTATGGCTTTCTTCATCTCACCTTGGAGAACCCCTGGTAATTCATGACAGCGAAGTTCTCGAGACGGATACACTCGCGGTAGAAATGCACGAAGGCGAACATAAGTCGTTGCGCTTCAATGGCCTCAATTTTTTCTCGTTTCTGATAGACATCGCCTAAACAGTTAGAATATACATGCAGTAGGTAAACCTCTTGCTTTCCTCCGTACCTTGAGGTTTTTTAGCACAGAGCGCAGCTGCTGGTAGCGAAATGAGCAGCGCTTCTCCTCCGCCGCGTAGAAGAGTGAGATCTTCTTTAGCTCGGCCTGCAGGTCACGGAAGAAGGCCACCTCCAGCTCGGATTCGGCTTTAAAAACGAGCTGGTAAGAAGTACTAATTGCAATGCACCACCAAACTTTGTGGTACGTACAGATATCGCGCTGGTTGGCGGCGTGGTGCGCCGCGCGTGTTACGGCCTTGATACGTTTCTTTAGGATCTTGTAGTTGAGCCAAAAGGGTGCCCACTCTGGATTGCTCTGAAGAATCTCCTGCAGCAGACCCTTGCCGAACTTCATGGTGTTCTAGTCTGAATTGGCAGCGCGAGTGTCCACTCCGTCCTGCACCCGAATTATTGGCAAATGATGAGCTGTGCAGTGTAGCCAGAGCGAGGACGGACGAAGAAGCCGACAGCCCAAAACGCTATTTGGCGCAAACTCTTTTATTATTATTAAACAAGAAGCGTCAACTCAATCTTCCGCTTCAATGTGCCCTTTTTCGAGATTCACGAAAAGCAGGATCGTCGATAAGTTGAAATTTACGCAAGAGTCAACGACAGACTTGCGCACCGTAAAACGTTGAGCTTTCAGTATTTTAAGGCTTAAACACTCTCTAAGCGGTCTTTTAGAAGCTATTTCGTCGGTGTGCAACAGCTGCAGAAAACGTTCATTCGGTCGCCGAGATTCGGAGATTCTTCCACGGTGTGTGGCTTACTAAATTCAAGTGTCGACCGCACGACCGAAAAACTATCGTAGATTCGATCAAAATCGATAAATCGACAACGCATTCGGCATCATCATCCGAGGAGCGCTAAGCACGGCTTCCTCCAAGCAGACATTGTGCATGCGGATTGGGTCTGCTGCCCGAAAAGTAAAATGTACATGTAAATCTTTAAGTCTGCGGCAAATGATTGTTCATCCGACTTAGTTTGTTATGATTGATAGCGACAAGCATGTACAGTATGCACTTACCGGTATCTCAAGACCTGGCAACTGCCAGAAGATTATCGCGAGCGAGGATTGCGTCGTGTCCTTGCTCTTGTCCATGTTTACACTTCGTATCGCTGCCTCACCGTGAAAATCTGGCCTGTCGATTTACATTTTTCATTCGTTCAGGACTTGAGTCTTCACATGAGCACAGTTCTGTTATACGACGGTGTCGCTAGTTCAATTCCGCCCATGCTCGACAGCCAGGCCGTCCACGTGCTGTACGGTAGCAGTCTGGAGATTCGTACAGTATTCATGTGGGCTCTGCACGCTCAATACTGGCAGTGGGCGTTGCTTTCCCGATAGCATTAAATATCTCTGCTCCAACACAAATGATGATACTTCTTATTAGATCGTTTGAGTGAGTGTATTTGTTCAAGACGAATGACTTTTTGATGATTTGGGTACATGTACTAGTGTAGTGTATTCAGAAGATCGATACCTTTTCTATCGTCAAGATTCTCCGTGTGCTGCCCCCGATATCGTTCTTCAACGGCGTCCATCTCACTGCTGCGCAAAAACGCTGGACAACGCAAATGAGATTCATGCTGTCTTCGTGCGGTTTAAAACACTTCACTCGGATGCGCAAGCTCAGCCAAGCTGAAATGATTGGTTCACGAGCGCTGTGCCGTAGAGCTCGGGAGACTCAACGGGTAGATGCAAGCGTATGCAATTGTAGAATAGAATATTAAAAAGAGATCAAAGTAACACTATTATTAATGGCAAAATTATAAACATGTATTAATACATGTAATCTTGAGACTTAACGCTGTGTTTCCCGACATCCATTTTCGAGCAACATATACACTCCAACGATCCCTGTTTTTTTTTCAATGTATTTTAAAATACCTCGCTCGTTTTCTTCTCAAGTGTATATAACCATCGACGTGCTTGGGATGTCCATGAAACGATTCGTCCGATTCAGGCGGGTTAGTGATTGACTTAAGAATTGAAAGCTCCTTCGCATTAAAAAATGCCCATGACTTTTTCCTCAACGGTATTCCTCACGATCAAAGTGAATTTGAGCGTTGGCAGCTTCTTCAATCATGGTCAAGTAACCGATGCTTGATGAACCTCATCCCATATCTCGGTCGTATTTCAAGCATTAGATCTCCCAGCTTCATTCTTGAACGCGTCGCCTTCGCGACACAGTGCAGTCTA